CACACGCACACGCACACGCACACGCCGCGCACGCGCACGCGCACACACACACACACACGCCGATATCCGCACGCGCCTACTCTACCCATCTTCATCTACATGCATGACATGCATGCCGAGCGGCGTGCCGGATACGGTGCTTCCTTGCCGCGATCACGGTTCTCCTGTCGATGCAACGGCCCCTGTTAGTTAAGGTTAAGCTTTATCGAGGATCTTAATTAATTAATCCTGAAACATCCGACGAGAATTCAGGTTTGGTCGGGGTCTCCTGTACAGAAAGCTCCAGGGCCGTTTGAGCCTGTCAACATCGCCCGCCACATACACGAGAAAGACTGCTGAGTCTGTTTGTCCTTGATTTTGCTAGGTTGGCTCGAATCCGAAACTCTAGAACATACACCCCGAGTGCGAAGGCGTGTTGTGTCACCAGCCTCACATTGCACATACTGCGGTCCCGATGGCTTTTCTGTATGCAGATTTACGGATTAACGTAGAGGTTTCTGATTTACCACGTTCTCAACGGGGAAGATTTGAGGACTGTTCTGAACAGGGCTCCCTGACACAGAGCAAGAGAGAGCGCGAGAGAGAAAGGGAAGTGTTTACTCTACTGCCTCAAGCCCGTAGCCCTGAATCCCACGTCTTTCTCCCTGGCATCTCGAGTGACATGTCCCCAAGATAAAGCCAAGGGCCTGCATGGTCCAAACCGACACGCCAATTCGTGTAGCATTGAAGTTGAGGCAGACGTCCCCCACGACCAGACGGCCATTCCTCTTTTCTGAACAAGCTGGTGAGACCCTGAACCGTCCGAGCCCTGCCAAGACAGAGACGCTTGTGTGCACAGACGCATTTCTGCAGCTGCTGCCGAACCTCAAGTCGACAGCGCGTAGGCCCCTAGGCTTACTTCACTCTGCAAGTCAACAGCACGACTTACCCCTTACGAGCATGCTCAGCGACATCAACAAAGCCTGCACCAGCACTCTCAGCAAGTCGTGTTAATGATATGAGGCAGAAGAGCCCGGCGGTTGGGGAACCCTGAAGTTCTTTAGCACCATGAGCTTCGATAGTCCTGAGCCACGCCTGAGCATGAGCCTCTGCTTGCCAACCCTACGGAGATTGTTGTTCTTATTGGTTCTTTATAGGGGTTGAAGAAGTCTTTACAGCCTTAGAGAGTCAAGCGATTGCTGCAATACGAGTCTCGCTCCTTCACACCCTAAGGGTAGTACTTGGCCATGCCAAAAGAGGGGGGGCTGAGAGAGTCCCTCATTGCCGGTGAGGCCCGCAAAACTTGGTTTAGGGTTTAGGTCCGAGGACGCTGTCAACTTGTGGATGACTCTGGCGGTGTGGCTTCAGGGCTTCAAGGCTTTGGCTTACATCTCAGAGTGTGCATTCGCAGCAAAGACAAGGGCAAATGGCCTCACCATGGTCAAAGCATTGGGTCATCATCATCATCGTCATCGTCATCCGATCTTGGTCATCATCATGAGCAGAAGCTGCATCGTGATCATTCCATTCATGTATATCCGTACTCAGATATACGCATCATCATCATCATCATCACCATCATCATAATTGTCATCGTCATCTTCGTCAACTCCACCACCATCATCGTGGTTCTCTTCGTTGTTTACCATGATGCTTCTTATGCTCGCCATCATCACCTTCGTGGTTGCCACATGAGCCAGCTTTGCTGCACTACCGTCATACATGTACTCTGCTTATCAAGGTGTTGGGCATCATCATCATCATTATCACTTTGCCTTTCCCGTCACGACCATCATCTTCAACAGTATCGCATCATTTGAAGCATGACTGTCATCATCAACAGCACCGGCAGCAAACCGTCCACGTTACTAGGAGCTTAGTCACCGTTATCAGTCTCATAATCATGTTCCCATCCTTGCTCTACCTTCGGTCATCACGTGCAGCCATTATCATTAACACAAGGAGTGAATTGTAGCCATGACCGCCCTCGTGGCCCCAGCAGTTCCTCATCGCCAGCAACGCCATTCCCACAACTGATGTTGTAATCATCGCTTTCGCCACCATTGTCATCAAAGACTTCTACGGGAGGGTAAGTAGAGTGACGAAGCAGTTCAAGAGTATTGAGAAGGCAGTCGTCTATCCTATCAGTACCAGTAGGTGCGCGAGTAGCGGCAGCAGCAGCAGCAGCAGCAGCAGCAGCAGCATCAGCAGGAGTAGCAGTAGCAGTAGCAGTACCAGTACCAGTACCAGTACCAGTACCAGTAGCAGTAGCAGTAGTAAGTAGTAGTAGCAGTAGTAGTAGTAGTAGTAGTAGTAGCAGCAGCAGTAGAAGTACTAGCAGTAGCCGTAGCAGTAGTAGTTGTCGTCGTCGTAGTAGTAGTAGACTACGACTACTACTACTAATTACTACTACTACTACTACTACTACCACCACCACGACTACTACTGCTGCTGCTGCTGCCGCTGCTGCTGCTGCTGCTGGTGCGTCCCTGCATCAGGCGTCATCGCAGCAAGTTCAGATCTCGAAGGCAAAGGAGGTCCCATAGCGAGGGTTCCAGGAGTACTTTTTACGTTTCATTAACGGGTCCTTTAGCCGGGATCCTACGCTTCTCTTCTGAGCTTTTGGTCTTTTCGGGAGCCTCCTCTGAGCCGTACAAGCCCGCAACTCAACCTCCGAGCCCTGAACTGAAATCGTGCTTCTAAGCGTGGTCTGGTGGGAATATGGGGGCCTGTAAAGTAATAGCATACCTCCTAAAGTCCTTCTATATACATATTCATGATGAATACGGCAATATACCTCCAAGCACTATTCTCGTTAATTTAGCTGTGTTCTCTTAGGATCTCTTCGGTGTAGAGGGTTCTCGTCGAGAGCATTTAAAGGGCTACCTCGCAGGGCTTTCTCAGAGCCAGCCTGCGACGCGGTTGTCTTATTATAGCAACTAATGATAGTATACCACAATTGCCTATGGGAACATACATAGGGGTTTTTATCGCAAGATGAGCTTTTGCGGTACAAGTTTGGCAAAGGTTCGCAAACTCGTCTGGCTCGGGGACTTGTAATCTGAGCTTGCTAGCCTTGTTCCACATCGAGCTTCCCGAAGATTTCGGAGTCTAGAGCCCAAACAAAATTTTGGTCATGAGCCCCACGCGAAAAAGGGCTGAGGATTCATGAGGTGTTTTCCTTAATGAATCGTGGGATCTTGCGAGGGCCTTTGCCCGTAGGATCTTGGCGGAGGATTTGGACAAAATTTTAGTGGGAATCGAATATTTTTCGCAGATGCTTGCAGGAAGGAAGCAGCAGCCAAAAAAAGGCCCCGGAAACCTAGAAACAACCTGTTCAAGCTGCACAAAAAATGCTTCAACCCAAATCTTGAAGCAGACGTTGTCGGTACTCGTACCCATTATACCCCGCCAGGCACCTGGACGGCTTCGCGTGCGCTGCTTGGGCGCTCGCGACGTCCATCCCTTCCAGGCCCTCCCAGGTTTAGCTGCTAGTGTAGAAGCCAAAATTTGTTTAATGTTGTTCCTTAGGGTTCATCATTATAACTATGTTGCATTGCTAGTATAGGAGCCAAAATATTTTAATCTTGTTCCTTAGGGTTCCTCATTATAGCTATGTTAGAACGGAGCCCAAAACCCTGTTCTAATTATTCAGGGCCTTGCTGTACATTACCTATAGAGCATCGGGGAATCGGAGCATGGGGCTTGGGTGATTCTATGAGCACTTCGAAGTGGCACTCGCTTGGGACAGTTCGTGGCATCGAGTTGAAGGTGGATGGAAGCCTACTCGCCACAAGTCTTGGGCCACAAACCTCAGATGATCATTGCTGTCTTGAGCTACACTATATACTGTACTTTGTTATATTATGTTTGATTCTAGAAAATTCTATTCCATTACATTACACTATATGAGGTTACTTTACATTGCAGTATATTATGGGGTTCCAGGCTCACCAGATTGGACTTCGGACTCTGAGTGTCCGAGCCCAGAAGTTCGAACCTCTAAGACCAAATCCTCAAGCTCCTATTGAAGATCCTATTAGCTTCTAAGCTTTACTTAACAGGTTTTAGACGACCCTCCCCCCCTGCCCAAGACAAAACCGTATTAAAACGTCATATCAGAAGACACCACACACCCTGGTTTGCCAGGTGCAGATCTTCGGGCAAGGTGCCACTTACGATCCTTACGCCTGCGCCTTACAAGCACGGTTGGGTGCACTGCAGGCGAGTACGATGGGCTGTATACGATTAGATGGCTATAGCATGGGCAAGGTCGTCATGATTATCAACAACAGCTGTGCTAAGAAAGTCTTAGCAGAAACCGAGGGCAACATAAACGGCAATGGTACTGGACCTTATTGACGCTTCGGACACCGCCGATTAGCAAGTATTGTGTTATACTTACGCCCGAAGTCAACTCGCCGGCCCGTGCACGGAACTTATGGGGTTTGGTGTTAGTTTGGTGGCGTTGAGAGCGAATAGGATGCAGAACTTGCAGTCCGACAGCCCCCTATATAAGCTTTGGGGGGTCCGGAGGTTTTTATAAGTCTTTCCTCAATCAATCGCCGCCTTACTGCTTGTGGGTTAGGGTCTACAGCGACTCAAGACCGGCGTTGGAGTCTTAGGGTCCGATGTGTTCTTTCGTAGCTTCTTAGTCTTCTGGGTTCTTCTTTACTATGCTATACTAGCGTACGCTATACTGTAGTACCATTTCGTCAGTCCATGCCAGGCCGTGCTGTGCATACGCCGGACTGTGGGAGACCGCTACCAAAAAAGTCGGAAACGCTGCACGCATTCCGCGGGGAAGACACGGCACCCGTGCTGGCGCGAAGAGACGCTTGGACTTGCTCACTTTTAGCAGGAGTTCTGATCTGGATGGTGAGCCTTTCAGGGGAGTCTTGTCCTTTGCCAAAGTCCCCTTGTGAACTTATCAGCTTTCTCAGTTGCGATAGTCTTTCTTCTTGTATGGTTGCAGAGTGTGTAGTTGTTACGAGGAAGAGTCGCTACAGCTCCGAGGTTCTGGTTCACGCTCCCTACCTGCCCTTGGGAAGCAGAGTACGTTCTGGAAGCGACCATCTACGGTGCTAGCCAGGGCAGGCGCCACGATGAGCCACTCTTCGGCAGCTGCTTTGGTCCTTTGCTCTTCATGTTCTGCCTTGGTTGGGTTTCGCGTTGCTCCTAAGGTTCTTGGGATATGCAGAGCTACCCCTATCCACTGTTCAATCCGAAGCACGGCTGGTGGAGGAGAGGGAAGCCATGGGAAGGCTTCTCACAGTCATCTACTTTGCGCCTACAGTCCGATCTGGTAGGATTCATGCAGTGGTGCTCGCGCTACACGACCTGCTTGAATTGGATGCCAGCGTTATAGACCACAGCAGGGTGGCACCCCTTGCTGCTGTTTCTGGCACCAGTTGTTTCCTCGATGCAGCTGGATTCCGATGTGGCTGCAGCAGCCAGCGCACGCTGACAACCGACGACACCTCGCCCCGAAATGCATGCAGCATCCACTCCTAAAAGCTTTACTCACCTAAATCCTGAAACTGCAACTCATTTTTTTACAACCAAACTGCCTCTGTGTTGCCTTCTCCCATTGTTTGTTCTTCTTTCCATGTACAACGCCAGGAGTTGCCGCTCGGGCCACCAGTTGGCTCCGCTGCATCTGCCGAGTCCGAAGGCTGCACTGCAAGTTCACAAAACCCTAGGCCCTAAACCGTGAACCGTAGGGTCTGGGGCTCTGGGATCTTGGAGCCATGTCGACAGTGGTAGTGGTGGTGGTGGTGGTGGTGGTGGTGGTGGCGGTGGTGGCGGTGGTGGTGGTGGTGGTGGTGGTGGTGGCAGTAGTAGTTGTGGTGGTGGTAATAGTGGTAGTAGTACAAGAGGAGGAGGAGGAGCAAGGGTGGTGGTAGCAGTAGCCGTAGTAGTGGTAGTTGTAGTGGTCGTCGTCGTAGCGGTAGTGGTTGTGGTACGTAGTGGTAGTAGCTGCAGCAGCAGTACCGGTAGCAGTACAGAGCAGTTGATGTTCTACCCCAAATGATTGGCCCAATGTCATGATGCAAATGATGGTTCCACGTGATAGAATCATTGCCATCAGTGCTGTCAGTATCAGTACTAATGAGTACTTGGTTCGTGTTATCTTTGTGCTACTTTAGTAATTTAGCGCATTTTAGCGCCGGCATAAGTGTTTTTCCAGGAACACACACGACTGGAATGGTTCCGAGCCTTCAGGTGTATTCTGTGCTGGCCGGTGGGGTAGCGAACAGAGTTTAGACTTGGAGTTTCAAGGTCTCAGGACGTGCTGTCGGAAGGATGACAGGTTTCGGGCATGGGCTTTTCCTAGATGGTCTGCCTGCGAGTCGCAAGCGAACCTGAAATCCCCAAAGGCCAAACTCGGCACCCATGGGCTTTCGGCCATTTCGCTTCAAGCTTCAGATCTCCAGTGAAGGCGGAGATGCACTTTGCGAACACGAGTTAAGAACTCATAAGCCGCATAAAGAGCTCCGAAACCCGGCCAACCTCGTAGATCTTTGCAAGAGGCAGAAAAAGGTTTGTATCAACCTATCTTTGTACTTCTTATAGTTTCCATATGTCGTCGACTGTCGTAGAAACTTTAACAAAACAGGGCTGTGGAGCCAGGCCTTGCTTCGGGGAGTGCCTCTATCGAGCCTCTGTTAGACACTGAGTACTCATCATTGGGCCCATATACCCCTATTTGAGGGTACACTGAGGGTCCTGGTTCACTAGCATTTGGGGCTCTTTGTCATGAGCCTTGGCGAAAGCAATGGTGGAAGCAATGGCACCCAGGCAGCAGGACCAGGAGGGACGCAAGGCGAGCGAAGAAACGAAGATGGAGGCACAACCAACGAGAGCAAAGCCTCGCAGGGCTATCCCTCTGCGGACACACCCGAGAACGGGGAGAAGGAGTGTCAAATCCTAGAAGTGCATGTTGCACATGCCCTCACCGGCGCAAGCCTGGGGTGCTATCAGGTGGCCCTGACAGACTCGGTTCAGGACCTGAAAACACAAATAGCGCAGCGGACGAATGCAGAGCGCCCGTGGGCCGCAGATTTCAAGCTGCTTTGCCGGACGGATCTTTTACAAGAATCGACGCTGTTGAAAGATGCCCAACTTGCAGAACCGATCGAGCTTCAATACCTGGTTTCGCCGAACACTCAAGCGCTGGAGAGGAACGACCTGGTACTGATACCAGAAGTGATTCAGAAGTGTTTGGATCCCTGCACGGCCAAAGTGTACAAGCCGAATGTTCGCTGGGCCTTGAAAGATTTCATATTCCGTGCTTCAGAGGCCGAGCTGCTGGCAGACTGGCACCGCGAGAAGCAAGGTGATGTTTCGCTTCACGACTTGACGGATCGGACAGGGCCCACAGAGCCGTGGCTGCAGTTGAAAGAGGGACACCGGGGCATAAGACGGGACAGGCACAGTGTCCTGAGCTGCGAGTTTCGGGATGGCTACCTCACCTTCAGCTATTTTGCCTTTAAGCATTCTTACCAGCCTCCGAGCATGGAGGAGGTTGCTCCGTGCGGCTGGCATGCAGAAGGATCACCCGGAGACATGGCAGGTCGCGCTTCTGCACCCTTCCTGTCACCAAGAAGGCGCTTGCACCCTGGCATCTACAGCCCGGCAGCCACAACCCGCCAGCTCGCTCTGCCCTGCGCCATCGCGGCACTACGCTTTGAAGGCCTCCAAGTCGACGAGGTTTTGGCTGCCGACCACTTATATGGCTTCGGCTTAGGAGTGGAGTTCGATCTTCTCCTGGCGGTGCGAGTGAACGCAGCCGCGCCCGCAAGTATTGTGGCAGTATATTTTCATGTTCTTCAGCTCCCTTTCGATGGCAAAGTCCACGCTTTCGACCAGAGCTTCTCGGATCTAATCCTGGGCAGAGCTGTGTTTGAGGACTTTCTGAATGCAGCGGCTTGCGACAGCATCGCGCAGGTTTTGGTATTGTGGTATGCAGATCAAGCGAGGGCATTGCGGTGGTACTTGAGTCCCGTCTCTTCTGCCTTCAAGGATTTTCGGATCCGATTGGCTGAGGAATGGCTACAACCAAATGGGGATGAGAGACTTTGTCGCTTTAACGAGCTTTTGCGACGGGATCTGGCAGCTCAACTGCCCCTGGAACCAATACTCGTCGACCTTCCAAATAACACTTGTGCTAATGCCTTGTGTCGGGCCGGCCGACAGTGTATGAAGCATTTCCATCTCTTCCAAGTCCCCTACGTCGCGATGTGCGAGCCAACTTGTACTAGGAAAGGCTGCCCGAAACACCACTGCAAAGGACCTGTAGGCCCAGCACCCTTCTGCTGCGTTCAGCTCTGGCAGCCCCGGGCCACGTCGGATCCGTGGATGTCAAAGGAGAAGAAGAAACTTGCGAACAAGAAGGCCAAGCAGCAGCGGGCACCCGATGCCGTGCACACTGGCCTCGGTGCTGTCGGGCGTGTGCTCGAAAGCATCAAGATTGCTCAAACCTGAGGCGGGTTCCAGTCTCTTCTCAGGCAGCCTGATGTCTTCTTTTGTACTTCGCTTTCTCTGCGACGAGACGAGCATGAGCCTCCTTACATTTGCAGCAGCCCCTTGCCATCTTTCCGGAGCGGCCCTACGACTCAAAGTCGGGCAGATGGCTGTAAAATCAGGTTGGAGTGGCTCTTGAAGCGAGGCTCATCAGCTACTTTACTTTGGAAGGGTTAGCCAGGACTGGACAGCCCGGCCACCTTCAGAGCCGATCAGGCAGTGCCACCACAGCTACTTCAAACATAGAGCTTGCGTTCGCCAGCGCATCATAAAACTTGCACCATCCGACTGGTCAGTTTTGCACGTCGTCGTCAATGTCAACATTTGAAAAGAATCGTAAAGGCGCTCTCTCCCAGGGTTGGAAGCCTTGGTGCTTGCCGTTGCCCCGCAGGGCGCATCCGCATCGAGCTGATGTGGGAGTCTGCGTGCTCCAAGCAGACCGACACCTTCCTGCGGTTCGTTTGGCGAGGGATGAACACGGCCCCTCGGATTGTTTTAGCGACATTGGAGACGGATCATCCGGGCACCACTTTGCTATAGTTGTTGCACCAGCTTTTCAACTGCGAGGCTTCCCCTAAGCTGCTTCGACAACTTCAGGTCATGGGCCTCCGGTTCTTCAGCATTGCAATCCTCGCCATCGCAGGCAGGCAGTATCATTCCTCAGATTGCTGTGCACGGCTGGTAGCCAGCTCAGGCATCTTCTATGGCGGTCCACCAGTCAAGTTCAGAAATCCTCTGGCCTTCGACCGACTGCTCTCAAGAAGTTCCTAACTCTTTGCAAACCCTGAAGCCCCCAAAAAAGGCACAAGAACGACTCTGAACATCGTTTTGACAGGACTTCTTCTCATGGTGGCCCAGGGCTCGCGCTGGCTCTGTTCCGGCCACACCTTCGCGGACTGCCATGAGCTGGAGGCATCGATGGTGATGATAGTGAACATTCTGAGGCCAGTGATGATGATCGTTTCAACTACCCGTACCACAAGAATTCGTGCTTCTACTCGGTTTAGACAGTCGGCCCCTTGTACCATCGCTGTGATTCGTTGCGCTGATAATGCACGTAAAGCCCGGAAAGCTGAGGATCCAAAGATATCCACAGGCCACCCCGACACTGAAGCATCCGGAAGCTCCAAGCAGGAACATGCACCTTCAAGTCTGCCAACCAGAGATTCACTCAACTTAGCATCGTATCGTCTAGTAAACTAGTATAGGCACTTGGTTTAACCTCTTTGAAGCCCAACCTCTTGCAGAAATACTGTAGCTTACAACTTGATAAAACGCCACTTGGCCCTCGTCCGCGGCACGTTGGAAAGACCCTGGTATTGATTTCCTATAGGCCTCCAATTGCCTCAATACGACGTTACTACCCATCTTGATACCCACATAATATATGACCCAGTAACCCGTTATTTAGGTAACTGGAGCCCTACCTAGAGCCTCCATTGTAGTTTATTTTGGGGAGGTTATAACCAATTGTTATATACGGTAACCCCACAAAAGGAGTTACGATGGAGACTATAGGTATATCCCCAAAACCCTAGACCCTAAGCCCTAAGGTCCCTATACTGGATCCTAGAGACTATCCCTAAACCCTAAACCCTAAGCGCTAAGGTCCCTGTACTGGATCCTAGAGACTACCCTAAACCCTACGCCCTAAGGTCCCTGTAATGGATCCTACTGTAGAGACTACCCTAAACCCTAATATGGGGATTGAGTGTGTTGGGATCTTTGGAGGGAAGCCGAGCTTCTCGGCTTCGGTCTGTGGAGCTCAGGGTTCCAAGAGGGCTTGTAAGACATACTTATGTAAGATAGTCTCAGTTAATGTGTACTATAATATGTACTTTAAGAAATGCTATAATATATACTTTCAGATATACTGCAATACATACTAACTATAAGGTTTAGGATAATGTTTACTTTGACAGATACTATAATACATACGATAATCCCATAGCCTAGTTAATCAGCCCTGAACCTGGCTTGGGGCGTCGGGATTTTTGCGGGGCTAGTCTAAGAATCGCAGAGCCTTGCCCTGCTCGTGCAGGTTCCCGGTGCGCGGGTTGCCGCTGTTCTTGGCTCAATGTCCCTGCCTCGGACTTTGGGATCGGACCTTGAATCCATATGCGCGAAGGCCAATGGCACAAGCTCTGCAGCAGAATACCCCTTTCATGAGACGGGGTTGAACATAATATGGTGTGTTGATTCAGTCATTAATTCGTGGCGAGGAGCGCGCCATCGTTTATTTTCCTGAAGCTGCCCAGCCTCAACATTTATGGGTTCGCATGGCGCGCACTCTATCCTGCCCTGCAAGCGAAGCCAAGGATGAGCCACTAATCTGTAAACCACAGCGACCTGCATGTTTCGGCACCATCCCTTCACAAAAAGTATGTACCCTTGGCAATCGAGTTCAAGCATACAGCTTTACACACCCAGGATCCCCACAAATGCCCCATTGTTGAAGCGAACATGCATGAGACGATACCATAGATTCCTTCCTGTAGAGCGCCTGGAAAGGTCTGCCGTAGCTTCTGGCATCACCAACTTCCTGGGTGCCGCTGGGTTCTTTGGCTCCTCGTGGCATCTCGGACGCCCAATCCCGCAGACACTGTAGAACTAGTGCTACCACTACTGTACTGCGAGTTACCAGTAACTGGTCCTGGCAGCTGTTGCAGTAGGCGTTGGTCGCCGTCCTCGTTATGGCAGTGGCGCAGCAAGAGTGACAGTAGAGCTGGGACCGAGGAGAGAAGGTGCTCCGATGGGCTTGTTGGACGACGTTCAGTCCAGCTACGTCGATCATCAGGCAGCAGAATTGCCGCTGTCTGCTCCCTTCGCCAGCTATGCCAAGTGATGTTGTATTCCCCCTGGATTGATCCACGTCGTTCGGGTAGTTCTTCCGAACATGGCGAAACTGGAAGTGTCTGCTAAGCAGGATGACCTTGCCCCGTCGGGGTGGCGGCAGCACTCTGCACCCACGCTTCAATTGCAAGTTCAGCCCCTTGCAGGCATCATTTTAAAGTTCGGTTTCAGAGTCCTGGAGCCTACTAGCTAATGGGACCTAAAGAACTGGGAGAGCAGATCCCGACCCCGACACCTCCCAGCGGAGCCAGACCGTTTAAGCCGAAGCTTACAGACTCTGCCGCAGAGGCAAAAGCACCTCTTCGTGTGGGATGTCTCCGTGATGGCCGTAGACATCTGCCCCGTCGGGGCACCTGGGGGAAGAGGCGGTTTTAGATCTAAGATTTCGGAAGTTTGATGTTCAAAAGTCGCGGGGGTCACGTGCACCCCGCAAGTACCCTTCTTGCAGCTAATGTACTTATATAACATCATACAGGCCAAAAGGTCTCTCTGCAACGCCAAGAGATCGGGATAGGTGCACCTGTGTCAGAGCTACCAGTCCCAACTCTGTGATAACACGAGGCCCCTAGAAATTAGGACAGCATGATGCCGGTACTAGAGGTATGCGGCGGTCTGGAGGCTTGGGGTTATATACTACGACCACAGGGAGTAGCCTCGCCTTGCTTGCAAGCTCTCCCGCGATTGAAAATTCATTCCGGCAGCGGCTGACTCTTCCAGGACAGTTGAAAGAAACAATACTCGTAGCTGCATACTTTGAGGACCTAGCAGCTAGCAGACTCTGGGAATTCTGGCTTACGGTGTGTGACCTTGTTTACAAACCGAGAAAGCAACACCAAACCATCATCAGGCTGCACATTGAAACCTCGGAATCACTCAGATGTTCAGCCCGGGGCAGTGCGATCCAAGAGGGTCCCCAGTAAAGTATGCTGTTTCCAACAGCCTTGTTGAGGCATTCCGGAGGCCATTGATGTGACATGCATCTCAGGTGAAGATTTCGCTGCCGTCCGTGCGCCTATTGACCTGGTTCGGCCAGGCACGGGAGGAATACTAAGGACCCCTCATGGGAGAGAGGCAATCGTGTGGACGAATGATTTCCATTCAGGGTTCTCGGTCATGTTCTATTGCAAAGCCACCACCCCAAAAGCAGCTTCGAAGCCTCTGCGTCATCTGAACCCAGACCCACGCTGATACCAGATAGGCTGCAGAGTTTCGGTTTCGGATGACTAGAACGATTGCTATGTTGAGCTTCTCCAAAAACTTTGTGATGTTTGTTTGGTGTGCGTGATTCCCTCAGTCATAACACAGTAATCAACGGAATTCGGTTTTTGCAGGGCTCAAAACGGATCCTATAGAATTCCCAGCGATTTCAACTCGATCCCCATGTCCGAAGCTCCCCAATACAGGATCGGGATGTTGCATGTATGTAGTACGTGTTGGTTTTGCTGGTTTGTTCGGCCCACTTCAACTTGGATCATCTTGCAGCAAACCCCCAGTCTTAGACAGACAGTCTGGCAGGGCGTGGCGCTGATCCTTGGAGTGAATGGAATGGACATCTTCAGAATGAGCTCGAGTTCTCCTTCGAGCTTCAGTTTAGTGTCTGGCCCTCTTTGTGCGAGCCTTCTTGTTTAAACTGAGTGGAGTCGCCGGGGGCGTGGGCTCATGTACCGGCCGAAAGCCCTCGGAAACAGCTCAAACATGTGGACAGATGGAGTGACATAGACACACAAAGACAACCAGAGTCGCCGAGCCGACAGTCTTGATTCGCAATGTCCTGTAGTTGTAGTGGGAAGGTAGCAGGGGTAAGCAGTATGGCACCGACTGCCACAAGCCATCCAAATTGCCCTTGCTATACCAACCACCCAAGCCCTCAACCTTAAATCCTAGATCCAAAGGCTATCCCCAAGCTCAGGCAGCCAGGAAGACGGAGTGATCAACCAACAAAACAAGACACCAAGCCCGAACGAAGGGGCGATGACGATGGCTACTAGGGCTTGTGTTTTACAGTCCTTGGGCCAGTGCTGACTGCAAGCCTCATTGCCTTGACAAGCTGTACCATGCACAATCAGGCATCCTGATATCCACCCGTAGATAGATAGATAGATAGATAGATAGATAAATAGATAGATAGATAGATATATATATATATATGGCAGAGTGTAGTAGTGGCCGTGATCTCAGAACAGCTCTTGGTATGTGGCAGCTCACAAAAAAGCAACCTGTGACAACATTTAAGAAGAATTGCTGCATGTAGTATGCAACGGAACATCGTACACACGCCAGATGCGGATAGTTGTTGGTGAATTGAAACGAAGGATCATGGCTCAACTGACCATTCTGCTGGCGTGGCTGGAAGATGCTGGACCCTCACGCTTCCTCGGCGAGGCAGAGTGCTCCGGAGTGGTGTAGATACCTCGCACCGCATGCATGCATAGCCAAGTACCGCCCGACCGCACGACATGCATACATAGATACATACACGCATCAAAAGGCTGCACATATGTATGCGTGCACCGTCTGAGGCAAGGACGGATTTCTGGATGTCATTCCGCTTTATAGCAGCCTTTCCGGGGTTTTCAGCTCTTGTATGGTGGGCTGGGAGGATTGCATTCAACATGCGCGTGTTTGTCCAGGTCACACACACACAATTGCTGTACGGCAGTGGATGCTGGAAATCACATCGGGAAAGACCAACTACACTTCACCAAATCCTTGAGATTCTGTGCTAGTGAAGGGATGTCACAGTTCGGCCAGCATGCATGCATCCCAGTTATGCAGCCCGACACCCTTAACGTTACTTGGCCAGGTAGCAGCTCGTAAACTTAGCCCCGACCTCTTTTTGGCCAAATGTTCGGAGGCAGTGTACCTGGCCATCCTGGCCTTCGTCATGCTGCTGACGTCCGCCATCCTCTCTGGACGAGAGGCATCCATCTGCTGATCCTCCACACACAATATCTCACATAGTGATGCAGCCGCTTGCCACCACGTGCAGGATGCCAGACATGTGCAGACAACACCCGTGCTCAACCCTGTTCCGCGGCTCCTCCAGTTTGCACGGCTTCCACACGTGTGCTAAACATTGCCAAACCTGACTGCTTACAATCTCCAATCTTTCATACATGTGGACCGAACAACCAAGTTTTCCTAGGGAAAACCATAAACTATACGGCTAGAATCCAAAGAATTGTTTCTTTTGGTTTTCCTGCCGAAGTTTCATTACTATTGGGATTCGATTCCGCTTTGCATTAACCCTATACAACCGCAGCTACGACTACGATATCTTCTCGTTGATTAAGGTTGTAACTTGAATAAGAGAAACATCGGGGTCAGATTATGGGTGGTACTAAGCCTACTATGGATGGCCTTAGGGCTGTTGTCAAGGCGCATACCGTTGACATAAGGAGGAATGACAAGGATAGGTGTAGGGTTGATGTTGTTTGTAATCAGGAATCAATTAACGATCCTCGTCATTATGTTGGTATCTATAGTACAGGTCTGGTCTTAGGATTAGGCGGTGTAAAGACACACATACATGTACACGTGCATACGGGCAAGTCCGAAAACACGCCCGAGATGATCATATTGAATGAGAAAGGGGTGCCATATGCGATATGATGAAGTAAACAAACAAGTGCTGGTATCATCCCTAAAAATCAAAAGGCCATCATCTGGGCAACGCCAAAGCGAACACAGCAAAGATCGTGGTTCCTAATGGGTATCGTTTTAGTTTAATATTTGCATGAATGTGAGGCTACCGTTGAATTAAACGTTAGGCAAGTATTCAGCGTCCGTTTGTTCATATTAGCAGTAAATAGTATTATAGGGATGCCATGAAGTTGAATTTCGGGGACTTGATGGCTCGTGCTAACGATCTCATGGCTACAGCTGGATTAATTAACCTGCTGATGAGGCCAATGGTCGGGCTTTCTCCTGAAGCCATTATTTGGGTTGCTGTTGAAGGAAGTATCTGGTACAGTACGAAGGCTACCAATGCGAACAGTGTATGGGTAATGTCGACATGGGAGTTAAAAGGGAATGTATAATGGGGTTCAGTCGACATAGCATCTTATTCCATACGAACTAAGACGTGAATCTACAAGGAATTTCTTCTGGGTGAACATGAAATTTGGGCCAGTGTAAGGTCTATTGGCAGAATCTTATGGTTGCGGAATAGGAGTCGACAGTCATTCATACGTGATTATTGCTGGGGCTTTGATCTGAGACAAGACTACTTGGGGAGTCAATATTCGGGCCCATATTGAGCGTCTTGTATTCAAACAGAAAGGACTTTCATCGCTGGAAAAATCCTGCCGATATACATAGGCTATCTCCTCGCAACTTCAAAACCTAACGTTAAACTTGGATCATGCACCAGAAGCTTAAACGTAGGAGGATTGGTGGCACTATCGCGGCACCTCGCGGTAGTTCTGGGGGGGCGGGGTTAGCATACATATATATATATATATATTGTATTTACATATATTTTGTATACACATATGCACCTGAACTTGTGCTGTCTCATCTGCCAGCTGAGTTTTGTAACCGTGGCCCGCAGATGTTTATCATGTTTGAAAACTCCCGTCTTTGTATGCTTGCATCTATACAGCTGCAGACGCAGGTGTGCATGCTGACAGCCAAGTCTAGTCTCAGCGCAAAGCAAAAGCAAGATACAGGACACTTGCGGTGGGACACGACCTGCAGATAATCTGAATCTGACACAATGAATGCATGAACTCGCATGCAACATACAAACACATACATGCTTCGGCTGTGGGCAAGTGGAAAGTTGAAAGACACCGACACGGCAAACGAGATAGATAGATAGATAGATACATACCTCCTAGGTAAACAGAATGAGGGACAGATAGAGGATAAGGCGAGAAGGCAGATGTTATTCTGAACCAAAAAACCTTTAAAAACTGACGACCATCCCACTGAAGGCCTGGCTTTCGCAGCCGCCGGCTGATGTGGCTTGGGCCAAGCAAAGGTTGCGATGACTAAAAGAGTTAATTATTGTAAAATAATACATGGCTATGATTTTAAGGGTTCCCATAATCAATGATTGAAATACACGTAGTTACTATGAGGTCTCCCATCATAAATGTTTGCGGGGTTCAACAGTGATGCTATAAGGGTCACTGTTCCACACAGGAGGCCCACAAGGCGGAAGTGTACCACAGCAGTGTGGCTGGCCATGAAGGCATTCGTCAGAAAACAATTCAAGATAGCTCTAGCAATGCATTTGGTAAACCTTCGAATCATTCTTGTGGGACCGTTCTAGCTTCCCCTTCAGTCATGACTATGGGAACCCTTACAGTGGTTCTTGTAGTCACCCTTTACACAAAGCCCAGCCAAGCTGCCCAGAAAGCTTCCGAGCCTGGCCGAAGATTCCGAGGAGAGGTGGAGCACTGCGGAGGACAAGAACTTCCGGCCCAACCGGCCAAGAAGATACAGCAACTCGGTGAGGGTTTAGGGTTTAGAGAGTTTACTGTTTAGTGATTTGGGGCTTTTTAGGGTTTAGGGTAAGGGTTCGGAGCCACCTTGAACCCCGGAGCTCCGAAACCCTACACCCTGAACTCTATGGCCTAGAAACCCGGTAAACCTTAATCCTGCACCGCACCAGAGCCTCCGAGACCTTCCCCGGAAACCCCTGCTCTTGCTTTCTCCTTTTGCGCATGATGATCATGGTGATCATGATAAGTTCAATCATATCCCTAGGGGTCCATGTACCCCTGCAGTATACTTTGGCCTTGAGGTAATCTTCTGTAGGGACTGTAGGGCCACCCAAAATACTATATTAGCACATGGACCTTTAGGATCTGGGTATCTGTAGTTATTTCTTAATGTAGGAACCTGATTAGGAAACCCTGGTCTTCATCTGGGTTCATTCTATAATCCAAATATTTTGGGGTTATCGGTAATCAGGTTCCTACATTATGTTTAGGCGTAGTATCCTGAGGCTACCTAACCGCTTTAAACCCCTAAACCCTGAACCCCTATAAACCCCTAAACCCTAAACCCCTATAAACCCCTAAACCCTAAACCCCTCTAACCCCTAAGCCCTAAATCTATGAGGCTACGATGATCGGCCCAGCCAACCGGGGCTCGACGCTCGCTCCTGGAGCCCGGGACGCGCGGTGTCAGGCCGACTGTGATGGGGATCCAAAGTTGGTGTCGGGGACCCTTTTGAGGGATCCTTATGATGGGGATTTTATATAAGAATCCTACTGTTTAAGGTTTATAGTAGTTTAGAGTAAGGCGCTGGTTTCGTGGATGAGGGATTTGGGAAGGGGCTGGAGTATGAGCAGGTCTAGAGAAGTGGTTTAGAGTTCCGGGTCCAGGCGTGTTGTGTTAATTATGGTTTTTGGACAGGGCTTGGGGTTTGGTAGTTTGCGGAGGCTTCGAGACTGTAGGATCTGGAGTTCTTCACTTCCAAGTTCAATTTAATGTTTGAGGTTTTGGACCCCTTAATTAGCCAGATCCTCCTGGTGTCGCAACGTAGAGACTGAAAGCGGCGAGCGTGCCGCAGGCATGAATGAGATGAGTAGAGCCCGGAGCCGTAGAGATCGCCTCCAAAAGCCTACCCACGTGGATCCGGCGGAGCCTACTCGTGCTATAGTTGCAAAGAGACAAAGGCTTTAACCTACTGAAGACCTTGCATGGATTTCCCTTCCCTGTGATTAGAACTTCGGGTTTAAGGTTGTATGGCATTGCGCGGCTTAGTTGACTCTGACTTTGGAAGATCGTGAGAAAAAACTCGCAAACTTCAGGACGGTAAGAAGTAGGTCCAGTAGGTTTCCAAACCGGAGACAAACAGGCTGCAGTGAGCACTTCACGAATTTTGTTGTTGTTGTTGTTGTTGTTTATTCGGTTCGCTTTGGTGTTCGAGTTGGGGCTTGGAGCTGCCAAGATCCCGGGCGACTTGTGGGACTTGGTGGTGCACAGACGTACCCTTGGTTTTAGGGTTTTAGGGTTTAGGGTTTTAGGGTTTGGGGTTTAGGGTTTGGGGTTAGGGTGTTGCAATCTGTATACCTGGACACCAGTTCTGACAACCGATGGATCCAGCAAAACGTGCGACGAAGCTTAGCCCGAAATACCCTGCAGGCATCGAGGATTTCATGGCCAATGTGGAGGAAGGAGTGCGGGCCGTGAAGCACGAGGCTCCTTATGAACTTAACTTTTCACAACCCTTCCCTAGCTTGGCATTTCCCCGAATGTACCCGAAACATCAACCGCTTAACCCTGAAACCGCAGACCCTCAGGCATGGTCACATCAAGCCTCAGCAACCTTCTATCGTGAGATGCTACAGTATACTAAACTATACTACACTATCCTATGCTGTACTATAGTAATAGTTTACACTTTACCATGTCTTGGCAGCTTCTTTCCGAGAGTTCTCTTATTCGAATATGGTTGCCTGTCGCCCGCCGTGCAGTGTGGGATCCTGCTGTTAAGGTATGAGAAGTCTACTTCCCGGGTCATTATGGCTCTCTTGGCGAAGCCATGATGGAATATTATGACGTACCATACTAGGATTCTACCTATGATTTACGTTTTGCTCGGGCTGTTTGTGAGGCAGAGGCCCTTCGCCAGCCGTTTGTCGCTGCTGGAGAGGACCCACGTTCTGAGAAGTCGGTATCAGTCAGCTTGGTTTCGAGAAGCTTCCTGCCGGCGCCTTCGGTTTTCGGTTGATTACACCGGAATCCCAAAGACTAAGCCCTAAGCCCGAATTGGGAGATGGAGGTGCAGTTTGTGCAGGAGTGGAACTCTCGAATGAAAAACTTCATGCAAGACCTGGAGCAGCAGGCGGGTTCGATAGCCTGTGTCTTTGCAAAGCGGGTAGAGCACCTCAACTCCCGTGCGTCTGGCAATCTCCTGAAACGATTCGTCTTTGATCGCGCACGTACTTCGCCTTCGTTTTAGGAGTTCAAAATGATACGGTGAGAGGAGATACCTTGTCGCTTGATGCACTTTGGCATTCGGCAGCATGCGAAGGTGTGCGTGTGTGTGTGTGTGTGCTAGCTCATGCAATGCATGTATGTAGAGGGAGGCAAGTGGCAAGCATGTACGTACTATACAGTAACGGGTGTAGGAAAGACGCAACAGTAAAACTTATGGCACTGGCACGGTTATGTACAGCGGCCGATATCCATAAACGTGCAGATGGGCATTGCTAAAAGTTGATTGCAAAAAGCCACCAGTACATGCGGCGTTGTCAAAGATATATTATTGTGCTTCGGCCCGTGCGTTGGCATTTGGTGCCATCTAAAATGAACGGCGAGAGGAACAACCATCCCCAGACCATTCATTCCTCAACAAACGTTTTTGTGGAATGCGGAAAACAAGGAGACCTGCACTCTCCCACCCTCTCAATCGCTGTCCGAAACCTGAAAAAGCCATGTCAGGTGCGGCAGCCCATCTTAGAAGCCGCTGAGCGGTTTCAGGAGCCATGACTCATGAATGTGATACAGAATGACCACGTGAACACATGTCACTGTTGTGTTACACCGTCAACGCATGCCAATGCCTGCCTGTTTTGCTGCTTGCCTGCCTGCCTGCCTGGCTGCATATACTTGTAGTAGTCTATGCATGCAAGCATGTATATATCTATGTGTGCATGTCTGTGTCTGTTAGAGGGAGAGACCGACAGAGACAGAGACAGAAACAGAGAGAGAGGGACAGGGAGAGAGAGAGAGAGAGAGAGAGAGAGAGAGAGCGAGCGAGCGAGCGAGCGAGCGAGCGAGCGAGAGAGGGAGAGGGGGAGGGGCCGAGTGTTCATCTGTACACTGTACATGTCCCTATGAGGTGTGATTCTGGCAGCTCAGGGCTAGTATGCTATGCCTACAGTGGCGCCATGCCAGCTGAAGCGGAACCTCTGATTCGGGGTGCAGAGGGCAAGACAATCCTCGGACATGCTACTTCCTGTGCGCATGGTCTTCAGAAGCAGGTTAATCTTCACAAAAGGCCTTTGACAATTACATCATCGCCACTATCCAAAAGTTACTTGTCGTGGTGACACGCTTGATAGCACGATGGTGTGACGTAAATAAACCATGGGTCTTACTCTTACAGTAGCACCTTGCCCACCCAGGGCCAAATCGAGACACAGCGCCAATCGTTCCAGGACTCTTTGGGTGGGGTTGCTGAGGGTTCGATGCACGGGCTGAGGGTTCGATTCACTGGTAATTGACAGTTTCCTGTCAGAACGAGGATCCCCTTTAAGCAAGATGCGGGCCACTCATACCAGGTTCAGAGTCGACACTGTGGGGTGAGGAATGCTTTTGCGGTCTGGGCTGGTGTCTAGGGGCTTGTTTATGGCAGGCGTACTCGTCGGTGTACTGCTTGAGCAGGCAAGCGAACTAGCTGTGTGGTTGTGATGCTGTCATTGGGGCACGTAGAAGAGCCAGGCTGCAGGCACACCCCGACCCGACAACCCGCCAAGTGTAGAATCCTGGTGGAGTCAGCACAAGAGAGCGAATTGTGAGCTGAACATGCAGCCCTGGCCAGTTTCCATCCTAGTGCCTTCGTTCCGAGTGGTAGGGGCGGAGTACCCTCTCAAAACGCAGCCTCAAGCCAGAAAGCTGAAGCCGTCAGTGCTGGGTCTCATCCACAGTCGCAGCCCCGCAAACACGCCCGAACTCTGAAAAGACGCCCTCGGCAGAAGATGCCATATCGGCCAAACCTACGAAGCGGCCACAGACTCCCGAGCAGATGAACCTGAGACATCGGACCAAAATCCCCAAATTCCTGTTCATGCAAGTGCTAGCCGGAGACTTCCCCCGACTCGGAACGACGGCAAGACTGTTCACCCTAAGACGAGCAGCCCCAGGACCAGTTCCGCAATGTCAGGGAGGAGCTCGGGTGGGGATGCTCGTGAGCCTTCCGGTTCACAGTTCTTCACTTCTGTCCGGTGCCTTTTGGAGCAGTTGGGTTCGATGGGATCTTCGAGGACTCAGGGGGCTGCCTGGACTTTCATTTGGGTTAGGGTTTAGGGCCGACAAGTGTGGCCCGACCAAGCAATCGGTCAAACAGGCCAACTGCCGTCACGGTAGACTTCTCTGTGCCTCCGGTCGCAGAAATCTTGATCCTGAACCACTGGTCACGCATTTGACGATGATACGATGATGGTTGTTGTTCTTGTTTCTTGTTATCAGTATCAAGTATCATTATTATTGCCATTGTCATTATTGTTGACATAGATATTAGTACTTGTGGTTAAAGATTCCTGAGTCCTAAGACATGCTTAAACAAAATATCTGTCCGGGTACCGGCTCACCCTCAATTTTTTATCCTAAATCCAGACATTCTGAACCCTTTCAACAGATCCTCGTGCACTGTTCAAGTCCAGTACCTTATGCAACCCCAAAAACCACACAGCAATTCATCTAGAAACAGAAACAAAAACGCAGCCGGCTTGGATGACAGGACTCCGGAGGTCACGGCTGCATCTTAGGCGCGGCCAGCTGCGTGACTTTCTCTGTTTTTAGCAAAGAACGACTCATCTCCCCGCTCTTGCGTGGTGTATGTGTTCGCGGGTGTCTGTGTAGATTCACATACATAACACAATAAATACATAAATAAATACATAAATAAATAAATACATAAATAAATACATATATAATATTAAATATACAAATATATATATATATAAACAAATAAATAAACAAATAAATGTATATATGTATATGTAGGCTACATGTAGGTAGATAGATAAATATGTGCTACCTCATTCCAAGGCCTACCAAGAAGCTTGGTTTGTGCACGAGAGGCCTAACATGGTATGATTCATGACCATGGCGTCTTCACTTCTAAATCTCAAGCTTCTGCGATCCCTTCTGTAGATAGGTTCTGAGAACCGTGGCCTGTAGATGTCCGAGGCAGCGTGTGGAGTGAGACTTACTACATGCATCTAAAATTTCGGCAAAAACAGCATACACACTGAAGTGCTCCTCCTGGTAGGCAGGTTTGTACACAGTATCATACTAGTATTGCACTGTCATCGCAGGTCTGGTTTGAATGTTGGCTGCTACTGGTACAAGTACTACTACTAGTACTAGCACTAGTGCTAGTACTA